TTCCAGAAGTCCGGAAACAGGCCTGTTTCCGGCTTCCGGAGGGCTCCAGAGCCCAGCGGAAGCCATTTTTGCTCTCCCAGAGGCCTGAGGGAAGCCTCTGGACCCTTGGAAGGCAAAAAAAACCCAGCCCTCCAAGAAGTTCCGGTAGGCCACACCCACCATGGTTACACCCAACCAGCAACTGGGCAGCGAACTGGTTGCTGGCTATAAGCCAAGAATTATCTGGAAAAAGAATTACTAACCTGCTTGGGCAGCAAAGTAGCTGCATTTAGAAATGTTTAGAATAAGGAAGTTGAAATATTATATATAATTTTTTATCACGAACCCTCTTTAAATACCTTTTGTGACCATGGGCTCCCAAGACTTAACTCAAATTTTAAATCATAAAATTTCTTCAATTCTTTGTGGACCCTGTGCAGCCTCCACAGACTTGAGAACAACTGTGCTGAGCAATAAAGATTGTTGGGTTGCATAGCAACGTATCATGTAATACTCCAAATCTACAACCAGTCTTGCTGAATCCCAAGTGGTTGTAGGGAACAACCCTTCAGTTCCTAGAAATTTAAAATGGCAGCACAAATGTCAACACAACATATAAATCTTGGTTGGAAAGTAAGGTTCAACAACAAAAATCAGATGCCTAACTTGAAGGAAACTGTGGCTCCTGTTTTAATAAACATTGGTAGCTGGAAAGGGGGTTAATGGACTCCAGATTTTTCCCTATGACAAACCAGTATGGTTCTGCTCCTACAATGTTTAACCAAGAATAAAGTGAACCTCTTGATATATTGTTTCCTTGATTTATGATCTGCGTAAATCATAAGGAGCACAGCTTGACATGAAGACGACTTGACCCTGTGCTAAGTTAGAAAGGAATCAAGAGTGTAATTCTTTTTTGTAGTATTGTTACCTTTATGATCTAAAGAAAATGGAGTTCTTGGATCTAATTGGTAAAATGTAGAGTTAGGGTTAATCGCAACCAGTACTAAAAATGCTCTTTCCATAGATTGTGGTTTTCTTTAAAACCAAACTTTCTAATTGCTTCAAAAAAAGTCCTTTTATCCCATACAGCAGTGGTCCCCAACCCTTTTTGTACCAGGGACCACTTTCATGCAGAAACACTTTTTCAAGGACCGGGTAGGGGCGTGAAGGTTCCAATAACAGTAAATAAATAAGCGATGAACCTGTAACTTACCCTTTCCAAAAAAACTCTCCAGTGAACTCTGTTTCTGGCTCATTTTGCGAGGGCTAGCTTGCATTGCTGATGCAGGATAAATACGCGCCAAAGAGTCAAGCGCGGAAGTTAGGCGAGGGCGGAAGTGGTTGTCTTTCAAAATAAGACACCCGGAAGCAAAAACATATTTACATATATATATTAATCACGATTATTCATTCTTTGCGGCCCGGTACAAAATGATCCACGGACCGGAACTGGTCCGGGGCCCGGTGGTTGGGGACCCCTGCCATACAGGATAGACTCCATTCAGATTACTTGTTAAGTAGCCATCCCCTATTAATACTAATACAGTCACTGGGCAGCAGCCAGAAAGCCAAGGAACCGAAGAATATAGGGGTGAAGAAAAAAAACCCAAACCAGTAGTGGGTTTCAATTTTTTTTTTTTTTACCACGGGTTCTGTGGGCGTGGCTTGGTGGGCTCACTTTACCTGCAGGTTCTCCTGCAATCCTGAACTCTCCCTGTGTCTTCAACAGCTGGCATGCGGCAATCCGATGTGCGGCACGAAGCAGCTGAGCTTCGAAACCAGGAAATAAAGGGGAGCATAGAGCCGGGGCAGGAAGGAGCTGATCGTCGGAGCGAACTGGTTCTCTCACAGATGATCCTCGGAGATACTGGTTCGACTGAACCGGTAGAATACCACGACTGCCCCAAACCCTGCATGTTACATCTTTGAATTTTCTCAAGTATTGCACTTTCTGCTTTTATTTCTGGACCTTGAATAGTAGCCAAACACAGTGGCTTTAATCTGCACAGTATGCTATGCAAGGAACTAAGTTTGCAAGCTTACTCACAAGCCCGGTTTTAAATATCATCCCAGCAGCCAGCTGGCTTTCAACTGAAATTTCAGGTCACCATTCTTCCCTTTAAGTCAGATGTTGGCAGTTCAGATTCGCTGTAGATTGCGGCATCGGAATAAAAAGGATGCAAGAACTTGGCCACTTCTGATTGCTATGGGTAGAGTAAATATGCTTGCAAATTGTGCTGTGAGAAAGTACCACTGGATATCAGGTGAAACCACAGACAAGCACATAGGCATTGCTCTTTTTATCTTTTCCCAACCATTTTTCCAGTTAATTGGAAATGGGTCTATGACAATTTCCCACGGCCAACTCACCACGGCCAACTTGCCACAGGACAATTCGCTGTGGGGACAAGTGTTACGCTAATATCAAAGAAATGGTGGGGATAGAATAATTACAGGAAGGATGCAAAAGGAAGGACAGGATGAAATGTGAATAATCTATTTTTGAATTATTACATTGAATCATTAAATTGTCCTGCAGCAAGTTGGCCATGGCAAGTTATCCATTCTGGTTGGAAATAGGTGCTTTGATGTAGATCACATGCAGCCAAACCATGGTTTAAGAGATGATGATTCTCCTCTAACAGCTCCTGGGCTTTCTTTGAACATGCTCTAAGTGTTGTGGTTTGCCGGCAGCCAGCAGTGGAGTTGGACAATGAGGAAGGGGACCAGTCTGGGAGTCTGGAGAGGACTCGGACGAGAGTCCTGCATTCGATGCAGGGATGGGGCCAGGACCAGCTAGGAGTGGGGTGCTGCCTTCGGAGCCTTTGGAGTCTGGCAGCAGCAAGGCAGAGGACCCAGGGGAGCCTGTTCCCAGTGTGTGTGCAGAGCTGCTAGAAGGCAAGAGGAGCTGAAACAAAAGGGGCAAGACTGGGAGGTGATTGCCTCTCCCATAAGGGATAAAAGTCAGACCTCAATGACGAACGCTTTGCAGGAAGCAAAGTAGTTCAATAGATTCCGAGTCCTCCTTGAAGCTCTGTGTGAACTCTGGTTGGTTTTTTTCTGGGACTTTGGTTGTTTTCTGTTATAATTAATTTGACTTGTTTTTTTTGGCAGCATTCTACAGCACTGAAAGGCGTGCTCTTAACTGGGGGAACTGTTTTTAATTTGTTCTGGCTGGGAATGAAAGTAATTCCCAGCATTGCATTAAAATAGGTTTTCCTTTTACAATAAGTTTGTGTTTCATTAAGTTTGACGAAGCCTGGGTCAGAACAATGCGCACTTAAAAGACCTTGGATATTACTACTCATGGTGCTGCCGTGTCTGCCTCTGTAACTCTTCAAGGTAAGCTGGATGACTGCAAATGTTCACAGCACCTCCTCAAGGCTCTCTAGACAAGAGGCACTTCATTTATTTAACATTTGTGTTCTGGCACTGAAAACAAAATTGCTATGGATCAAACCACCTGGTGAGGTTCAGCAGCAAAAGTAGATCTGATGCTAAAAAAATCCTGATAGCCTACGAGTCAATAGAGGGATTTATAGCAGGCATGATAAAGACACAAACAGTGGTTATAGGAACTTTGGAAGATGTTTGCTTTTGGGTTGAAAGAACTCAAATACCATAAAGTGGTGGGACATACGCCTCCCTTACACTTACTGCAGCAGCTTTCTGAACCACAGGAATTAAACCAGATTGGGATCACAAACCTAATCACAAAATGTGGTCAGGCCGAGAGGTCTGCAGAAATCTCCAACCAGAAACCTGCCCATATAGGCAATGAGTATATAATTCATTGGGCTATAATATAATAGTCCAATGGGTTTACAAACAAAATTAATGATATACAGGTAGTCCTCAACTTATGACCACAATTGAGCCCAACATTTCTGTTGCTGAGACATTTGTTAGTTTTACCCCACTTTATGACCTTTCTTGCCAGTTAAGTGAATCACTGAAGTTGTTAAGTTAGCAACACAATTAAGTGAATTGGGTTTCCCCATTGACTTTGCATGTCAAAATGTTTCAAAAAGCAACCACATGACCCCAGGACTCTGCAACTGTCATAAATATGAATCAGTTGCCCAAGCATCTGAATTTTGATCACGTAACCATGGGATTGCCTCAATGGTCATAAGTGTGAAAAATAGTTGTAAGTAACTTTCTTCAGTGCTGTTGTAACTTTGAATGATCACTAAATGAACTGTTGTTAAGTCAAGGACTAGCTATATACAATTTTCTGAATTCAGAATGTAATAACCAGTACGCATTTAGAACTGCTTCCCGTATGTGCAATATATTTCCAGGAAACTATCAAATTGCACCTGGAAGGGCAGAGCCTGGAGGAGGTTTGGCATGTTTGAGGACCAGATCATTTTGTAGCTGAATTGCTGGATTTTACCATTTGTAGAATAATATATGAAAGTCAATTTGGACAAAACATGTTAATATGTTGAATAAATCTGGTGAATACAGAACGCTCCATGTTTTTATAGGATGCAGTTTCTGACAGTTCCATGTCAGCATCCATATATTAGCACAGTTTTGTTAAGGAACTAGCTCGATACCCGTGCTTCACTCCGAAACTGTGATCGGGCTTAGTTTTGGAGGAGGAAAATAAGGGGGGGGGGGGAATTGTGCCTCTGCCTACCAGCATCCATCAGTATTCATCTGGCTAGCGTACTGTCAGTGTGTGAGAGAGTTGAGGGTGTTTGGAAACTGAAACAGTATTTGCTGTGTGAGCAAAGAGGAGACAGCAAGAAGTCTGGGCATGGTTTAGCTCAACTGTTCTGTACTAAAGCTGCTTGGTGCTGTGAAACTGAAACTCCTCTCCTCTGCTTGTGTTTTGCATTTGGAAGAGATTTCTTTTCAGGTGGGGAGGGGGAGTAGAACTCCTTAGCATCAGAGCATGTTAATAATAATATAAGAAACACTAATGCTCTGATGGTCATTTCGAAAAATCCTTTCTTAGTGAGCACCTAGAAGTCAAGAGGAACATACTTGCCAAATTTCAAGTTTGTAGGCTTTACGGTTCTGGAGATTTTGTGATGATGTGTGAGTGGTATTTCCCTTTTATATATATAGATAGAAGATTGAGTGGTCGAAAATCAAATGCACAAAATGTCTGAAATATATTAGGAATTGTTTCAAATATTAGATTAACTGTTGGTCCTCCAGGCAAATTCAGAATTTCTTCTTTGTATGCAAAGACTCCTTCACAACTATATCTAGCCCTGGGAGTGGAGTTCTTTTGCGAGCTGCCGTTTCTATTTTCCGAACAAGATCTACATCCCACTTATGGGTTACAAAACTGACTGCAGTCCCAAGGAATTTACTGCCGATGCGACCGACTCGCCCCACCCGATGCAGATAATCTGGCAATGTTAAAGGGAAATCATAGTTAATTACGAGCTCTACATGAATGGTGTCCAATCCACGGGAAGCTATATCAGTACACAACAAAATGTCAGATTCGCCTCTCTGAAAGGCCTTAAATATGCCTGCTCGTGTATCTGCTGCTATTTCTCCCTGCAGGCGTAAATGGTTGATGTTATGGTCTTCTAAAATGTAACCCAGCCAGTTAACAGTCCTGGCTTTGTTGCAGAAAATAATAACAGCTCCAGAGGAGGATCCTCGCTCTTTGAGGAGTTGTAGCAGCTCTGCTACTTTCTCACCCCCTTTCAAACGTATGAATCTTTGCTCCACGTGAGGCTGAAGACAATGCAAACTGGAGCCAGTCAATATGGTGAAATTGGAGAGATCGGCAGACTCGCTCAACATCTGACTTAACCCTTTTGGAAGAGTAGCGCCCATCGCTACCAGCTGGGCTTTGGGATCCCAAGCCTCATCCCTGTCTTCAAACTTTGGGTCCAGGAAAGCTTGCTGAACGACATCCTTCAAAAAAGCATGCTGAACTATATCCTTCACCAGATCTATGAACGAGGCATCCAGGAGAGTGTCCACTTCATCCAACACCAAGAAGAGCAATTTCTCCAAGGATAACATCTTCCTCTTCAGGACTTTGCTCAGGGCGCCTGGCGTGGCGATCAGGAGGTCACTGGGACCCTCATGGATTCGCCGCCGAATCACAGCCGTGCCCCGGCCACCGCCGATCTCCTTCACCTGCAAGCCCAAAGGGTCAGCCAAGAGGGCGGCCACTCTGCGCACCTGCCCCGCCAGTTCTCGGGAGGGCACCACCACCAAAGAGCGCGGAGAGGTCCCGGAAACGTCCGCATGGAACGTTGGGGCCTGCAAGAGCCGCTGGAAGAGAGGCAGCAGGTAGGCCAGGGTTTTGCCGCTGCCAGTTTCCGCCCCGCACAGCGCGTGGCCCCCCTTCAGCAGGGCGGGGATGGTGCGCAGTTGCACCGGCGTGGGCCGCGAGATGCCCAGCACGTCCTGCAAGGAGGCTGCCACGCGAGGCTCCAGCCCAAGCTCGAGGAAGGTGGACGGGGCGTCCCCGTCGCTCGTCTCCCGAGGAGGCTCCTTCCGCGTCCGCTCCAGCTGGAAATAATCCCCGCGGGACAAGCGGTGCTTCCAGCCGTCCGACACCAAGCGCGGCCTTTCCAGGCGGCCCGTCGTATGCCGGGCCGCCTGGCTCAGCTCTCGTCTCCGGCTCCGCAGCAGCAGCTTTTCCCCGAAGGAAGCGCCGCTCTCCGTCTCGGGGTTCCCGCGTCCCTCCCGCTTGGACGCCGGCCGCTCCAGCCTCAACTTCCACGCGTGGGGGATCCGCACCACGTGCTCGTCGGGCGGGGACGCTCCGGAGGCTCGGCGCACCGGCCAGCCGCGCACGGCCGGCTGCCGCCACGAGGGGAACCGGGCGGCCGTCGCGGGGCCACGAATCCCCCAAAGCGAGAGGAGGAGCGCCATGATGGAGCGGTAAAAGGGGAGAAACGCGACCGTCGCCAATGGATGACGTATAAAACGGGCGCGGTTTTTAGGCCTCGCGGTGGAGGCGGCCCCCCCGATGACGTCAGTAGCGCCCTCGCCTCCTGTTAGCCGAGGCTCTTAAAAACCATAGACTATAAAATGTAGAGGAGCCTCTCTATGGAAGTATAATATTTCACTTTGAGGCATTACGATTGTTTTCATAATTTTTATGATGGGTTTTTTTAATAACTTTGACGGTTGTTTTCATAAGAAAATCACTTGACATTTAGAGTAAACATAGAGATCCGCTGAGAGCTATTAGTCACGCATGGCTTATACATACTATTTTAAATAAAATTGCGGGGTGTCAGAACTGGTCCGCCAAAATATGATCTGGTGGTTTATCGGCATACCAAAAAATTTCTTTCCAACTAACCGGATTTTATCAATTCGGCTAAAAACCCTGAAAATTTGAGATGAGTCATTCCCTATGACCGTTAGAACAGCGAGACCTGCGCGGAAGCTTAATTTTATTGATGCGAGATCGTTTAATTGTACAATGTTAATTCGGAAAAAAAAATTGGCGTTTGTTTACACGTGGGTATCTCTACCCTTTCCTATCTCTGTTTCGAATGGGGGGGGGGAGAAAAGGACAAGGCCGTGACGTCATATCTCGTCGCCTGGCGCATGCGCGGGAGCGGGCAGTCCCGAGTGATGGGAACCGGCGTCTGGTGAGTTGAGCTGGGTGCCGCTTCCGAACCGTCCCATGGCGGAAGGAAGGCCTGGAGGTGCCCCCGGAGGCAGGCCGAGCCCAGCAGAACCCCCCTGCAACGCTTCCGGCCCAGCCTATTTCACAGGGTGGTTGTCTGAGATGGTACTATGGGGATCTCCTGTTTGAGCAGGGGGCTGGTCTAGAAGACCTCTAAGGTCCCTTCCAGCTCGATTCTGATTCTACTTCTAGTAGGGAAAAACAAGAGGTGGGAGTGTTAAATAGGTCCGTTATTTTGCGTTATATATAAAAAGATGGCATGAAAATATAGTAAATTCAGGGAATGGTCTAGGGCAAGGGGTAGGGAAACTTGGCTCTTCTATCACTTATGGACTTCAACTCCCAGAATTCCTGAGTGAGCCATAAAAGGTTCCCCATCCCTGGCCTACTGGTTTTTCAGCTGTGGGGGGGAAATAAATTTTTTGACTTGAATGGGACTGTTTAATATACTGTTGGAAGTTATGATTTCCCTCTCTTCTAGGAAAACAGCCCCCCACCCTTTCTCAAATAGCTGGAGCCAGCTTACTTTTCACAACAAAGGAAGGAGAAAATGACAGGCATGAGGTACAGAGAAAAAAAACACCTACAAACTAGCTAAGATCCTTTCCCATAGAAATCAAATAGATGGCAAGCTACAAAAAAAACTTGTGAAAAGCGAACAGCCTAACAGGAAACTCAGGATATTGCAACCAGGTGCAAACTGATAGCTACAAAGGATCAGGGAAAAACAGATTGGACTATAAAACAATTACTCCTACCAAGATCCCAGGAAGAGATCCCAATCTCAAACGGGAATTCAACACACACAAATCAACGACTTCATTTACAAATCAAAGAACCTGAAGTGTATAAGAGATAGGTTTTCCTACTCACTTATTAGATTAATCCTAGGAACGCTGTGAGATTTCTTACCTGCCTTCCTATTAATAAACTGATTCTTACTTTCAACGCAGCTGACCAAATCATTTTGCATTTCTCCCAGCCAGGAAATTTGAATCCACAAAAGGAAAGAACTTTGCCTATTCCTTAAAGGGCAAGGCTTCTTTTTTCCTTTCCTCAATACAAATGTAGAACATATTTTAATATACAAATGTAGGACATATTCTTTATATGTCCTACATTTGTATATTAAACAGTCCCATTCAAGTCAAAGATTGATTTCTCCCACAACTGAAAAACCAGTAGGTCAGGGATGGGGAACCTTTTATGGTTCACTCAGGAATTCTGGGAGTTGAAGTCCATAAGTGATAAAAGAGCCAAGTTTCCCTAGCCCTGGTATAGGGTCTCTGTCAGATCCGTGTATCTGCCATTCTTCATGGAAGAAGAAGAGGGGGGGGAGTTGGTACAAATCCTTTTTGATGTAACCTGAATATATTAAATCTTATATTGAATTTGGATAACCCACGACATACTATGGAGGGACAGAGACCAGATGCCCGGAACCCAGTCACCTTTGAAAGAGACAGCCACAGGATGAAGAGACCATAAAAATTCCTGCTGGGAGATGTCTCCTGGGAACCTCAAAAAAAGATCGTTCTCAGAAGGGTGGGGGGATAAACATGTTGGCTCTTTGTTTTACTAAATACACATCAAGAGATCCCTGCATGCCTGAGGCAGGTTAGATGCTGCTTTTAATCCCTACATGAATTGTCTCATCTCAATAAAGGATTCCTTTCGATATGTTTGGTTTTCAGAAGTTCATTCTTGTTGATTGAATGGGAAAAGTTCTGTAGCCTGACAGTCTCCTGCCTGAGCAAGGGGCTGGACTAGAAGACCTCCCAAGGTCCCTTCCAATTCCCTTATTCTGTTGTTCTTAAATGAGCTTGTTGAGAAGATATAGGGGAGAAAATAGAGTACATGATCAAGACCGATGAAGCGACCTAGGCAATGATAAATATTGGAAACATGTTTTATAAATTTCATTGCGGTTTCATTGGGAGGTCTTTTTAAAACAAAAAACAACGGTTGTCTTATATCTTGCTGCCCGGATTGACAAGGCAGAATCCAGAAGTATTACCTAGGATAGTGGGTTTGTATGTAACTCCCAAGCCATGAAATTTGCAGCTCGGTTTCTACGTACAGGTAATCCTCAACTTATGGCCACAATTCAGCCCAAAATTTCTATTGCTCAACAAGACAGTTAAGTGACTTTTGCCCCCATTGTATGATCTTTCTTGCCACAGTTGTTAAGTGAATCACTGCAGTTGTTAAGTTTAGTAACACGGTCGCTAAGTCAACCTGGTTTCCCCAATGACTGGTTGCAAAAGGAGATCACATGACTGTGGGACGGTGCAACTGTCATAAAAAACACCATGGTTGCCAAGTATCTGAATTTTGATCACGTGACCCTGGGGATGCTGCACAGTTGTGTGAAAAGCAGTTGATAAGTCACTTTTTTTCAGTGCCATTGTAACTTGGAACAGTCGTTAAATGAATGGTGGTGAATCAACTGCTTGTATGGATCCAGCTATTTTATCAGAATCAAATCTTAATAATGTGATTAGGAAAATATTAGAATGTGCAGAAATGAGTAGATTAACGCTTGTAATTAAAGAGAGAGAGCAAACAGAATATTATAAGATATGGGAACTATTCTATCAATGGCTAGAGAAAAAATATGAAAGCTAGATAGAATTAATGGATTAGTTAAGGACAATAGATATTTTTCCTCAGTAGAAATAAATAAGCTAAGTTGAAGGATAAAGACATAGTGATATTAAGTACAATAAGTATAATAAAATAAGACTAGAGAATAATACGTAATGAATATGATTGTAAATATTAACTGTATTGCACAAAATATTTGTAACCAGATGACATGTTGTCAAATGGAAGAAGATATGTTTGTAATAAAAATAAAATTTAAAAAATATGTAATCAAATCTTAACTCAGTTAGAGGAAGTTCTTTTCTGTATAGCAACAAATGAATTAAGCTAGGGTTGGGTGATTGTGATTGTTGTTATAATTGCAATAGAGGGTTTTTTTCATTTATGCAAAGAATAATTTAATTGGACAGTTTTTATGCTACTTCAATTCAGTGGGACTCTTTAATTTTTGAACATATTCCCCACCCCCCACCCCCCAGTTTCCTTTCTTTCAGCTGATTCCAAAGACATCATGCCAATCAACTGCGTAGCCCTCAGTTTCACAAATAAAGCAATACTTGCTCCTATGGTGCGAGTTGGGACCCTGCCGATGAGACTCCTGGCTTTGGATTATGGTGCTGATATTGTATATTGTGAGGTAGGTGTTCTGACCTAGGCTTCCCAAAAGCATGAAACCGACTCCTCATCCCGATAAAACCCCTTTTATTTAGGTTAAAGAGAATTCCTCTCCAGTTGCCAAGCTGATATCTTCCAAATGCCACACTGTAGCAGCGATTACTTGGCAAGGAGTCAGGAACAGATCTTCACCCTAATGAATTGAACTAATTGTCTCCTGCAAACACCACTCCCCTTTCTCTCCTCTTTATTCCCTCTGGGAGGGGCCATTCACCGTCCACCTGTGCCCTTACCCCTGAGTAGACCCTTGTTCCTTAATTCTTCCCTTCTGGCAGCTCTGCGCATGCACACACTGGGAACAGGCTCCAGCTGTTCTTCTGCCCCACTGATCTCCAACTCCACAGGCAGCTGCTAACTGTCAGAAGGCCCTGGCTCCATTTCTGCCTCCAACGCAGAGCACTCATCCGAGCCTGGGACGGACTCCAGGACTGGCCCATGTTCCTTCCTAACCTCCTCACTGTCCAAGTCTACCGCCAGCTCCGCCACAACACTAGGGGACATGGATGGTTCCATCTCCTTCACATTGTTGTCAGGAGATAATAGAATAGGAATCGAATAGATGGCTTTATGGGCCATGTGTGATTGGACAAAAACGGAAATTGTCTCCAATGTATAAACTCGCAGTATATATACAAAGTAATATAATCATAGGATACCAATAGGAGAAAGTAGAAGAAAAGATGAGAGGATAATAGTAATATAGGCATACTACCTGCATAAATATGCTTAGATATAAGACAGTACTGTGGCAACTGGATGTTCAGCAGGGGGTGTATTTGTGTCTAGTTGTTTTGGCATGAAATACCCTACAGCGGCATCTTGAGGGGACAAGTTGAAATAGTTTATGTCCAGGATGTGAGGGGTCTGTATATATTTTCTCAGCCCTCTTTCTGACCTGCGCAGTATACATAATGTATACTAACCATTATGAAGTAATTATGTATGCCAAACATTATGTAGTAATTCATAGAGGGAAATACTCTGAACAGAGTTCACAAGTAGATTGCTAGACACCATATTTGAAGTGGTTTTGGACTCTGTAAAAGTCTCTTCAGTGTTTATATAATTAGTTCTGTCTCAGTAAATGGCAGCATCGACCAATACTAACTGGGAAGAGAGGGCACTGGGGAATTTCCAGAGCTGAAAACTAGTCCTGAAATATCTCAGAAAACAGTCACTTAGATGACGTTGCTAAAAAACCAGCCTGGATATCTTTTCCCTTTTCTCTATACTAAAGGGAAAAAAGGAATTACTTTTTAAAAATGGTTTTCGGTTGTTGTTGTTTTCTGTTGGGATGAAATTCTTTCGTAACCTTTGCCTTGTTCTTTAAGGAGCTGATTGACATAAAGATGCTTCAGTGCAAAAGAGTTGTAAATGGCAAGTATTTATTTGATATTTGAGTGAAAAATAAAATGAAAAAGTTCTGTTTTTCCTGACTGGTAGCTTAAGACGATGATTAATGCTGCTTGTTTTCTTTAGATAAAGTGCTTGTTAAAGAAATTAAAGTGTCTTGGTGAAACTGAAATTAAGAGTAGTAAAAATGGTAATAATTGGTTGGTACATTATTTAATGTATTGTTTTTGACGCTTATGTAAAGGATCCTTTGGAAGTATTCAGAGCTTCTGTAAAAGTGTTTATCCAGCAAATTTAATAAAATTATAAACAACTTTCAGCATTGATACATTTTAATATCTGGCTGTAATCAGTGATGATCTAAGAAGTGAAATCTTGAATGGCAATATGGGTGTGTTAATAATTATTCAACAATCTGTTAATGAAGTCCTTAATAGAGACTTTTTTCTCTTCTGTGCCTCACAGACATCCTTGGAACTGTGGACTTTGTTGCCCCCAACGAAAGAGTGGTGTTCAGGACATGTGAAAGAGAAAAGGACCGGGTTGTCTTTCAAATGGTATGATTCTGTGTGATTTACAAAAGCAAAACCAACTGCTAAAAGTAAAAGAACTGCCACAAAAAAAGATCTTAAAATCGGGTTGGTCATGTGAGGAGAGAAAGAAAGAAAGCTATTTCTATAGGCAATCTATTGTTTCCCTTTCCCACACCCTTCAGATTGAGAGAAAAGGATTTCAAGAGAGTAAGCTATTTCCGTAACATTCCTGTGGCTCCAAGCTGTGGGGTGTGGCATAACTGCATTGCTTTCAATGTGTACAAGACAAGAGGTAGGCATGTGAGTCGTTCAAAGGGCAGGGAAGTTGGCAAACCAAAGCTGAAGTTGTGAAATTAAGTAGTGGTTTGAGAAGAGCAGGCAGAGCTGGAGAGGGGAGTTAAGTGTGTCATCAGTCTATAATTATTATGTTCCCACAAATGGTTTAAGTCCAACCCTTCCTGAATTCTGTTAACCCTCATCTGGTGCTGGTTTAGTATTTAACTTTATTTGATTAAAATTCTTATGTATGACCTTGGGCAATAAATCATCTTTAATACAACTTCACATATGGTCCTGAACTTGTCTTGTCTCTTTCCAGCCATAAAGTGCAGTTGTGGTCACATGATTTCCCATTTAATGACTGACTGCTTTGCTTAATGACAGAGTTGCTAATCCCTATTTAGGGTTTTTATATGAGGACTACCTATATATTTTTAATGTATATGTGAGCACTTTGGGGAGCTCTTGAACTGAAGAATGAGCTAGAATACCTAATCTTTCTAGAAAAATAATCCTGTATGGTTTTCTTTTCTTGCTGTTGTTCAGGGCACAGCTGATGCTGAGAGAGCCTTGGCGGTAGCCAAACTTGTGTATGTATCTGTCAGAATATATTTATTGTACTTCTTTTATGTTACATTCAAACAATTCTCATCAGCTTATATATAAACAAAAGTGAAAACATCCCCAGGGAGGTTAACATCAATTATACCAATGCTAACAAAACTACATCAGCTCCTTCCTCCCTCTAAAACCACAAAAATGACAATAAACGAAGAAAAGAAACATAAAATGTGATCTAGTACAGACTTAATTTTACTTGGCATTAACTTTTAACCGATCTGCCCAGTTTACAGATCCATTCCACACATTTCCATTTGCATAATGTTTATTTCTTTTACATTTTGCAGATCTCAGGAATAAAAATTGACAGTTTTAGTTTGGCACAGTATTTAGTAGCAGGGGTGTCCAGCCTTGACATCTTTAAGACTTGTGGACTTCAACTCCCAGAATTCCCCAGCCAGCCATAAGTCTTGAAGTTGCCAAGGTTTGAGGTCCCTGGTTTAGAGCAATGGATTAGGGCCAGAGAGATCCAAGTCCATTATGGGTCCATTATGCTGTTTATCATAACAAACTTCACAAAATTATTGGGTGGCTAAGATGGGAAGTACTTATATTGTCTTCCTTGAGTTCCTGTTGGATGAAAAGATAGCATTGATCTAACTAATAAGACCCACAAATGTATTCTTTAAGCAAGGAAATTATGGTTGACTAGGACTGGTGATAGCCTAAAGCTGTTTACTTATGCAGAGTATTACTTTCTTAATTAGAGAGCAGAACAGTTTAGAAACTGCTTGTCACTCTTTCTTCAATAAAAGCAAATTAAATTTTTATAGAAAATCTGAAAATTATTTTCCTGAACTTTTTTAAAAAAATGCACAGAAGTAAAAAATGCGCAATAACAGTAATTTCAAACAGAGTTGTATTCTCTATGGTGAATATGCAACTTGGGTATGGCTTGTTGTGATTCTTATAAAATCAGTAACAGGATCATTTGAAACTGATAGTACATGAGCTACATCTGGTTTGGACAAAGAACATCCTTCATCCTTCTGACAATGAACTTGAGATAAGCAGCCATGTAAACTAAAACACTGCAAAAATAAACACACTGAAGCAAATCCTGAATAATAAATGATGATAGAATAAACAATTGCTTTGCATCTCATTGTTTCAGCCATTTGTAACTTGCTCTGAAAATGAATTGCTTAATAATATTTGTGTGTGTCTAAATGTTAAAATCTCCTTATATTGTCTTTTTGCCTTGTCATTTCAGAGAGAATGATGTTGCTGGCATTGATGTGAACATGGGATGCCCCAAGGAGTATTCCACAAAGGTATGATTTTTGCCATCTGCAGTTTTTTTTCTTTTTGAATCATATTTATAGATGCCTCCAATTTTATGAATGTCTGCATAGCTTGAATCATTATTTGAATTATGTTGTCTTTCTTATTCATTTAATCAAAGACTCTAAAAGCATGAAACACCTTTTTCTTTCAAGCCTTTGAAATGAGCTCCAGGAATTTGCAGAATGCAAATTCAATTTGCTTATCTGAAAGAATTGCGTGTTGTGACATAGTAGCTAAGTATATTAACAGAAACTTTGTGTCCAAAAACAATTTGGTTTTTTTTCCTTTTAGCATGACATATGAATACGTTTGTCTGCTTGTTTTTCTCTCAGGAAGCCAGAATCCCAATCCAAGTTTCTGTGTTTCAATTGCGTCATATTAAGGAAGTGACTTCAATATTTCTTGCTTGAACCTAACATTAGACCAAGGTTGGTTGAAGCCATCCTGTTACATTTGGCTGATTTAACATTGCAGACCACTTCCTTCTTTTGATCAGTTGCATTCAGACTAAGCTTCCTTTTTTGCATACTAAAGATGTGAATTTCTAGCTTACTCCAGAAAAAAATGTGTCTGCTGTCCCGTTGACTTCCTGATTCGCTTCTGAATTATTGAGAAGTTACAAAACATTTCTTTACACTACCTAGTTTTTCTTTGAAAACATTTTGCTTCTCATTCTTGGATGAGAAGCGAAACATCTTCAAAGAAAAACGAAGTCCAGTTGCCTCTTGAAAAAACACCTTTGGGATAACCATGACTTGGATGACTGAGAATCTCCATAGAAATCTCTTGTACTACTTCCATTCATTTCCTTGTATTTTCAAGTTAACACATGATCTGGTAGCATGTTCAGTGTCTAAGTGGA